GTTGGTTTTCAGAAGTTTAACCATGCTGTGCTTAGATACATATTTCTTTTTAATTATCCTGCTTGGGATAAGGCTTCTTGAATCTAGGGCTTGGATTTTTTAGTCAAGGACCAATCAGGAGACATAAACAGTGGAGTAATTTGAACAGAGAAAGATTAATAGAATTTTGAACTATGACAGGAGAGAACAAGGAAGGTAGAAAGAGAATGATAAAAGTTACCCTAGAGCTGAAGGGGAATACCTAAGGAAGGCAGACGTAGGAGGGCCCAATTCCCAAGGCTGGGATTCAGAAGTCCCTGGAGAAGGTGTGGTTGTAAAGAAACTCACTGTGTTGTGTTGCCCGGGCCAGAGCTGGGGCAGGGCTGGATGAGCAGGACTGATCCCTTGGAGGTACAGATGGGCCAACTCTGGTAGGTGAGCATGCGTGTGGAGCTGGGAACCTGCTTGTCAGCCGGTGCACAAGTCTGAGGTTTGCACTGTCCGTGTCTGGGGGGCTGCAGTGAGCTGGTCCCCAGGCCCGGGCTGAGCTGCAAGCCTGCTGAGAGACTGCAGGGTGGGGGTGTGTGGCTGGGCAGGATGCCACTGGATGTCTCTCCACACGTGTGTCTAGCAGCTGTGTGGCCAGAGCAGGAGCGAGCTGAGCGCCACAACCACAGCCCTTCCCCTCCGCGTTCCTCCAGGGCTCCCCTCTGACAAAACGCTGCGAAGGGGAAATGCAATGAAAGCGTAGACTGGGGCATGAGAAGCAGCAAACTGATAACTGGTACGATCAGTTTTGGAGTTTTGTTTTTTAAAAATAGCTTTATTGAGCTATAATTTACAGATCCTAAAACTCACTCATTTTTGCGTGCACAATTCAGTTATATTTAGTGAAGTTACCATCATGATGATCCAGTTTTTAAAAAAGTCCATCACCCCAAAGCTGCCTCATGCCCATGTGCAGTCTATCTGCTGCGCCCCCAGGCACCCACTTATCAGCTTTCGGTCTCTAGATGCGTTTCTCTGCACACTGCATAGAAATGGAAGCAGGGAATATGCCGTCTTTCATGTCCATGTTTTTGAGGTTCATCCATGTTGTAGCATGATGGCAGGTCATTTCTTGTTAAGTAGCGCTCTGTTGTATGGAGATAGTCTGTCCATCCTTTTACAAGTTGGTGGGCATTCGAATTGTTTCCATTTGGGGCTGTTACGAATAAGAATGCTCCTCTGTATACTGTCTGTGCTCTAACCTTCTTCCTGTTCTTCTGGTGCTCGTTACACTTCGGATTTTTATTTTTTATTTTATTTTTAAAGTTTTACTTATTTTTCTTAAAAAAATTCTTTTTTATATTTAAATTTTCCTTAGTTAACGTTCAGTGCAGTACTCTTTTCTGGATCCAGTTACACTTTGGGCACGCCCAGGTCTCTTCCCACCTGTGGTGTCCGTCCTCTTCTCTCTTGGGGGTTCGTTCTACCTGTGGCTCCTTCTCTGTCTCCAGGTCACTGATTCTGTTAAGCATATTCACTGAGTTCTTCTTCTTTTTTTTTTTTTTAAGATTTTATTTATTTATTTGAGAGAGAGAATGAGAGAGAGAGCATGAGATGGGGGAGGGTCAGAGGGAGAAGCAGACTCCCTGCTGAGCAGGGAGCCCGATGTGGGACTCGATCCCTGGACTCCAGGATCATGACCTGAGCCGAAGGTAGCCGCGTAACCAACTGAGCCACCCAGGCGCCCTCACTGAGTTCTTCTTAGCAGTTACCGTATATTTTGGTTCTGGAATTTCCACTTGTCCTCTGTTTACATTTCCCTATTATTCACCCAAATTCTCAATCTCTTACTCCTAGAACAGAGTAGGCACTGTGCTTTCCAAATCCCAGCCCCTGTAGGTATTTTTTAATTTAAGATTTTATTTATTTGTATTTATTTCACAGAATGAGAGCACACACGCATGAGCAGGAGGGGGAGCAGAAGGGGAGGAAGGAGCAGGGGGAAAGAATCTCAAGCAGACTCTGCTCTGAGCATGGAGCCCAAGGTGGGGCTCAGTCTCAAGACCCGAGATCATAACCTGAGCTGAAACGCAAGAGTCAGATGCTCAACCAGCTGGGCCCCTCAGGTGCCCCACTGTGGGTCTTTTTCGGTTCATGCTTCTTGTCTCCTTGCGTCCTTGGTTATTTCTTTGCTGTATGTGAAAAACTAAAGAACTAATTTGAGGCCTAGGATGATGTTCACCTCCTCTGGTGAGGCTTTGTTTTTATTTGCTCCTGGCAGGTGCCTGGGACGCCAGCAGTCCACTTTCAGGATTGAGAGGATGTGAAGCGGGCTCAGTCCCTGTGAGGGCCAGTATGCTTGTAGTCTCCCTTCTCCCCGGAGGGTGCTTCCTTGGGTTCTCAATTCCAGGCATGGTGAGTTCTGGACTCTCTTATTTTAAATTCCCTTTTATCGGAAGTGCCGCAGAGCTTCCCGGCTACCCCTTCTGGGATCGGCAGGTGCCTTTACCATGTGGTTCCAAACGTCAGGCTTACTTCTCTGGGTTTCTATCTCCTCCTGATGCGAGGGCCAATCATTCATTCATTTGCTGGCTTTCTGATGAATTCAGGCAGTGGTTAAAAATATTTTGTACAGCTTTCCTAGCAGGAGGGCTGGTCTGAATTACCAAGTCTGCCACTACCAGAAGTAAATTTTTTTTTTCTTTTTAGATTTTATTTATTTGACAGAAAGACACAGCGAGAGAGGGAACACAGGCAGGGGGAGTGGGAGAGGGAGAAGCAGGCTTCCCGCGGAGCAGGGAGCCCGAGGCGGGGCTCGATCCCAGGACCCTGGGATCACGACCTGAGCCGAAGGCAGACGCTTAACGACTGAGCCACCCAGGCGCCCCGCCCTTGCCCTTTATTAATAAAATAAAAGGTTTTATTTATTTACTTGAGAGAGAATGAACACAAGCAGGGGAGGAGTAGAGGGAGAGGGAGAAGCAGGCTTCCCGCTGAGCAGGGAGCCCAATGCGGGGCTCGATCCCAGGACCCTGGGATCATGACCTGAGCTGAAAGCCGACGCTTAACGACTGGGCCACCCAGGTGCCCCCAGAAGTAGAAATTCTTAAACATTTTTAGAAGAAACTTGTCAAGGACCATGTGACATCCTTTTGGAATTTCTCTGGAATACTTTTGAATGTATACATTGGGGAATAAATGACATCTTTAAGAAAGGTAATCTTCCTACCCACAAAAGATGTCTATCTCTCAACCTATTAAAGTCTTTTTAAATAAAATCTTATTTTTGATTTATATTCTGGGGTATAACTGACCTACAGCATCGTATTTCAGGTGTACAGGTAAAGATCCGACATTTGTATATCCTGTGAAATGATCACCACAGTTAAGTCCAGTTTACATCTGTCACTATATGAAGTTAGAAAATTTTTTTCTTGTGATGATGATGACTCTTAAGATCTACCGTTAGCAACTTTCAAACATGCAGTACAGTGTTGATTACATCACCATGCTGTACATCCTCTCCCCGTGACTTATACCCAGAGGTTTGTAGGTCTGTACCTTTTGACCCTCTTCACCTGTTTGGCCTGCTCTCCATTCCTTGCCTTTGGCAAATACCGGGGCACGCAGAGAACATGGGGATGCACGTATCTTTTTGAATTAGTGCTTTTGTCATCTTTGGATAAGTATCTGTAAGTGGAATCGCTGGATCATATGGTAGTTTTTTTTTTTTTTTTTTAAGATTTTATTTATTTATTTGACAGAGAGAGAGAGACACACAGCAAGAGGGAACACAAGCAGGGGGAGGTGGGGAGGGAGAAGCAGGCTTCCAGAGGAGCAGGGAGCCTGATGTGGGGCTCAATCCCACGACCCTGGGATCATGACCTGAGCCGAAGGCAGACGCCCAACAACCGAGCCACGCAGGCACCCCTCATAGGGTAGTTCTATTCTTAGTATCTTTGGGAAGCTCTGTGCTATTTTCCACAGTGGTTACACGGGCTTACATTCCCGGCTGGGTACAAGGGTGCCTTTTTCTCTCCATATCCTCACTGACACTGATTATTTCTTGTTTCTCATACTAGCCATCCTAACAGGTGTGAGGTGATAGCTCATTGCAATTTTGATTTGCATTTCCCTGATGATGACTGATGTTGAACATCTTTTCATGCACCTGTTGACCATTTGTACGTTTTTAAGAAAAATGTCTATTCGGATCTTCTGCCCATTTTTTTTGTCAGATTGGGTTTTTTGTTTTTGTTTTTTTTCTTTGAAGGTTTTAAAAAAAATTATTGGACAGAGACAGCACAAGTGGCAGGGACGGGGCCGAGGGAGAGGGAGAAGCAGACTCCCTGCTGAACAGGGAGCCCGATGTGGGGCTCGATCCCAGGACCCTGGGATCATGACCTGAGCCAAATGCAGCTGCCACCCAGGCGCCTCATTAGATTGGTTTTTGCTATGAAGTTGTAGAAGTGCTTTGTGTAGTTTGGATATTAGCCCTGTATCAGGTATATTTGCAAATATTTTCTCACATTCAGTATGTTGCCTTTTCATTTTGTTGGTTTCTTTTGCTGTGCAGAAGCTTTTTAGTTTGATGTAGTCCCACTTGCTTATTTTTACTTTTGCTTTTGGTGTCAAATCCAAAAAAATCATTGCCAAGACTGATGTCAGGGAGCTTTCTGCTTATGTTTTCCTCTAGAAGCTTTATGGTTTGTCTTAAATTCAAGTCTTCAATCTATTTTGAGTTAATTTTTGTGTATGGTGTAAGAAAGTGGTCCAGTTTTTCTTTCTTTTTTAAGTAGCCTCCACACCCAGTGTGGAGCCCAACGTGGGGCTTGAACTCATGACTTTGAGATCAAGATCTGAGTGGAGATCAAGAGTTGGATGCTTAACTGGCTGAGCCACCCAAGAGCCCATGTCCAGTTTTATTCTTTTGGATGTGGCTGTTCAGTTTTCCCAGCATTATTAAAGAGACTCTCATTTCTCTATTGTCTGTTCTTGGCTCCTCTGCCGTAAATTAATTGACCATATACTCATGGGTTTATTTCTGGGCTCCTTGTTTCATTGACCTGTGTTTTTTTTTTTTTTTAATTACAATCTCGGGGCACCTGGGTAGCTCAGTTGTTAAGTGTCTGCCTTCGGCTTGGGTCATGATCCCAGAGTCCTGGGATCAAGTCCCGCATTGGGCTCCCTGCTCGGCGGGAGGCCTGCTTCTCCCTCTCCCACTCCCTCTGCTTGTGTTCCGTCTCACTGTGTCTCTCTGTTGAAAAATCTTTAAAAATAAATAAATTAAATAAATAAATTACAATCTCTCTGACATACAGGATGAAATCAGGGAGTGTGATGCTTTATTCTTCTTTCTCAAGATTGCTTTGGCTATTCAGGGTCTTTTGTGGTTCCGTACAAATTTTAGGATCACTTTATTTCCGTGGAAAATGCCATTAGGATTTTGATAGATTGCACTGCATCTGTGCACTGCTTTGGTAGAATGGACATTTTAACGTGTTCTTCCCACCCATTAGCATGGGGTAGCTTTCCATTTATTTGTGTCTTCAATTTCTTTTATTAATATTGTCTTATTTTCAGAGTACAGGTCTCTTTCACCTTCTTGGTTAAATTTATTCCTAGGTATTTTCTTTTGATGCAATTGTAAATGTGTTATTAATGTCTTTTTCTCACAGTTCATTAGTAGTGGCTAGAAATGCAGTGGATTTTTGGCTCTGATTTTGTATCCTGTAACTTCACTGAATTCATTCAAGTTTTTTGGTAGGCTTTCTATATATGATATCATGTCATCTGCAAATTATGAGTTTTATTTCTTCCTTTTCAATGTGGATGCCTTCTGTTTCTTTTTGGTGCCTAATTGCTGTGGCTAGGACTTCCAGTAATATGTTGAGTAACAGTGGTGAGAGTGGGCATCCTCGACTTGTTCCTGATCTTGGAGGAAAAGCTTTCAGCTTCTCACCAGTGAGAATGATCCTAGGTGTGGACTTGTCATATATGGTGGCCTTTCTTATATTGAGGTGTGTTCCCTCTATACCCACTTCATTGAAGAGTTTTTATCATAAATCGATGTTGACTTTTGTCACTTTTTCTGCATCTATTGGGATGATCCTGTGATTTTTTCCTTCATTTTGTTAATGTAGTGAGTGTATCACATTTGTGTGTGTGTTGAACGCTCCCTGGAATCCCATTCCACTTGGGTCATGGTGCATGATCCTTTTAATGTATTGTTGAATTTGGTTTGCTATCATTTATTGAGGATGTTTGCATTTGTGTGAATCAGGGCCACTGGCCTGTGATTTTCTTTTTTCTTAAGATTTTATTTATTTGACAGAGAGCGAGCACACACATGCAGGGGGAGAAGCAGGCAGAGGAAGCAGGCTCCCCGCTGCGGGGCTCGATCCCAGGACCCTGGGACCATGACCCGAGCCGAAGGCAGGTGCGCCCCGGCCTGTGATTTTCTCTTCTTGTGGCCTCCTCGTCTTGTTTTGGTATCAGGGTAATGGCCTCGTAAACTGAGTGTGGGCGTGTTCCCTCTGCTTCTATTTTTGGAGGTGTTGGAGGAAGACTGCTATTCATTCTTTGACTGTTTGGTAGAGTTCATCAATGAAGCCATGTGGTTCTGGACTTGTGTTTGTTGGGAGGTTTTTGAAGAACTGATTCGGTCTCCTTACTAGTAGTTGGTCTGTTCAGTTTCTTTAAATTTTCATGATTCTGTCTTGGTAGGTTGTATGTTTCTAGGAATTTATTGACCTCTTCTAGATTGTCAAATTATTGGCATATAATTGTTCATAATAGTCTCTTTACGATCCTTTGTATTTCTGTGGTATCTGTTGTAACATCAATTTTTTTTAAGTAAGCTCTAAGCCCAATGTGGGGCTTGAACTCATGACCCTGAGATCAAGAGTCCCATACTTTACTGATTGAGCCAGCCAGGTGCACCTCCCCTCCCCTTTTTAGTTGTAACATCATTTTCATTTCTGATTGAGTACTCTCTTGGGGAGTCTAGCTAAAGGTTTGTCAGTTTTGTCTTTTTAGTCTCTCTTTCTGATCTTTGCTATTTCCTTCCTTCTCCTAACTTTGGGCTTTATTTGCTCTCTTCCTAGTTCCTTGAGGTTGCTTGTAAGTCAGGTTGTTTTAGTTTTTTCCTATCATCTTCCCCCTTAGAACGGCTTTTGCTACACCCCATATGTTTGATATTATTTCCATTTTCATTTGTTCAAGGTATTTTTTTTTCAAGATTTTATTTGAGAGAGAGAGAGCAGGAGAGAGAGAGCATGAGAGGGAGGAGGGTAAGAGGAAGCAGACTCCCCGCTGAGCTGGGAGCCCGACGCGGACTCGATCCTGGGACTCCAGGATCATGACCTGAGCTGAAGGCAGTCACTTAACCAGCTGAGCCACCCCGGCGCCCTGTTCAAGGTATTTTCTGATTTCTCCTTTGACCAATTGGTGGTTCAGTTGCATGTTGTTTACTCTCCACATAACGCTTTTCCAGTTTTCTTTTTGTAACTGATTTCTAGTTTCATATTATTCTGGTTAGAAAAGATGCTTGATAGGATTTCAATCTTCTTATATTAAGACTTGTTTTGTGGCCTAACATCTATGTTCCATGGAGAATGTTCCATGTGCGTTTGAGAATGTGTATTCTGTTGCTTTTGGATGGAATGTTCTATCAAGTCCTTCTAGTCTAATGTGTCCTTTAAGGCTGATGGTTCCTTACTGGTTTTCTGTTTGGATGATCTGTCGATGTGAATGGCATACTTAAATCCTTTATTATTCTATTGCTGTCCTTTCCCCCCTTTAGGTCTATTAATATTTGCTGTGTATAAAGGTGTTCCTATGTTGATACAAAAGTATTGAAAATTGCTATATCCTCTTTTTTGGAGGATAAAGGTTTCACTTAAGACTTGTGATGCCAGCATAAATGGGAGCCTTCAAGAATTGGTTTTTAGGAAAAAAAAAAAAAAAGAATTGGTTTTTAGGGTGCCTGGGTGGCTCAGTCGTTAAGCGTCTGCCTTCGGCTCAGGTCATGATCCCAGTGTCCTGGGATCGAGTCCCGCATCGGGCTCCCTGCTCAGCGGGAAGCCTGCTTCACTCTCTCCCTCTCCCGCTCCCCTTGCTTGTGTTCCCTCTCTCTCACTGTGTCTCTGTCAAATTAATAAATAAAATCTTTAAAAAAAAATTGGTTTTTAATTGTTGATTGTATTATCGGAACATATTCAACTTTTTTTTCTGACTCTACAGCTACCTACCTTCGAAGATTCCCTTTTTTTTTTTTTAGAGAGAGAGTGCACAAGTTGGGTGGGGCTGGGGGGAAGACAGAGAGAGAGAAAATCCCAAGCAGGCTCCATGCCCAGTGCAGAGCCCAATGAAAGGCTCAGTCTCACGACCCTGAGATCATGACCTGAACCAAAATCAAGAGTCGAATGCTTAACTGACTAAGCCACCCAGGCACCCGTAAATTTCATTTTTTTTTAGAAGTAGGCTCTATGCCCAACATGGGGCTTGCAGCCATAACCCTGCGATGAAGAGTCTTATGCTCTACTGTCTGAGCCAGCCAGGCAGCCCAGGAGATTTTCTTAGTGATCTCATTTTTTTTTTCTTTTCCTGCCACATGGCTAGAGTCTCCAGTACAAGTAGGATCCTTAACTTGTTGATTTTAAAGGAAATGCTCTGAGTATTTTAACGTTAAGTATAACGTTTGCATAAGATTTTTGGAAGATTTTTACCAGATTAAGAAAGTTTTTGATTTCTAAGAGTTTTGAACAAAAATTATTGGTGTTGCACTTCTAACAAAGGCCTTTCTGACGACTGAGGTGATTATATGGTGTTCTTCCTTTAATTTGTTAATATGGTGCATTCAGGAGCAGTTAGGCCATGTTGTGAAAATTTATAAACCCTGAAATCTCAGTAGGTTAGTTTGCACAAGTTCATTTTCTATTCATGTATAGTCTAGTGTAGGACACTGGGGGTGGTCCCTGTCTGGTCTCCCTCCACTTGGAACTCTGCCATCTAAGTAAGTGTGTCATGGTGGGGAAAGAGTGAGCATGAAGGTGGCACACTTGCTGAGTTCCCAGGCCCAAGTGACATGTGTCTGGCTCCTCATGGACCTCCCTGCAGGGGGCTGGGAAGCAGAGTTTCCCCTGTGCCCAGGAAGGAGAGGTGCTCTGGATGTGGGCACCCAAATAAGCTGTTGAGCATAAGAAATCTAGAACGTTCACCAGCTTACTGACATTCCATCCTTGCATTTGTGAGTAAGCCCAGCGTAGCCAGGGAGTACTGATTTTTATATGCTGCTGGTTTGGGGTTGCTAAGATTATTTTAGAAATTTTGTGCAAGTATTTGCCTGTAATTTTTCTTGGACTGTTGTCTGGGTTTGATGTCAAGACTATTCTACTCAAGACGAGTTGCGAGGTGTTTCCCCTTTTGTTCTCAGGGGCGTGCGTGTAAGACTGAAGCTACTTGTTCAGGACAACTTGCTGGTAAGCCTATCTGGACTTGACGTAAACCAAGTACCTCTTCTCTGTAGCACTTACCATGGCTGTGATAGTTCACGGGGCTGGGGTGGGGGGATTTTTGGTTAAGAGGAGTGAATGAAGTAAAGTGGTCTGCAGACTGCTTGAGACCCAGGATCTGTGTGTATGTGCATATAAATAATCTTGCCAGACCCTGTTCTAGGTATTAACTCCCTGAGCCTTCACAGACCTGTGAGGTAGAAGCTGTTATTACCCCCACCCGCAGCTGGAAAAACTGGGAAACAGAGCGGGGGCCACTTACCTATCAGCTGCAGAACCAGGACCAGAGCCCTTATTAGAAGTTCCTCCAGTGCGTCCCCAGCAAATGCAGGACTAGAATGACCCAAACCCTGCCTGACCAGGTTCCTAAATCATGTACCCCTAGTGAATGAAACAAATTAGTGAGTGATGGTTTAAATGAATGTGCAGGCTCTGCCTCTCACCCTGCTGGAGGGAACCGGGTGGGGCCATCACACCCTCAGAAGACTGGCCCTGCACCACCCATGGCTGGACATGGATTTGAGGTCATCTGAGCCTCCTGAGTTGCTGGGTTAAGCATGCAGGTTCCTAGTCCCCTCTGGGGGTGGCAGGCTCAGCCCAGATGTCCGCACTTGGCCTGGGACCTCCTAGTCACCTGCAGGGAGGTTAGGGCCAGACCAGGCTGGTTCTTGGTATTGGTGGGGAGTAGAGGACTCAGCAGCTGACTGCTTCTCTCTTGGATGCTGGGAGATGAGCAGGACACTGAAGGGGATGACACACAGGCTGGGATTAAGTCCACGGCTCATCATGAGTGGAGGAGAGGTAGCCCACGTCAGACAGAGAAAAGACCGGACCCTATGGGGCCATTGCCGAGCCCGTGCGTGTTGCCTTGGGGGTGGGGGGGGTGGAATCTTACAGAAGGTGTGCTTTCAAAGACCCTGCTTTAGGGGCTCTGAAAAGTCGCTCCAGGTACCTCTCTGCCCCCTGAATTCCACCCTAGAAATTTCAGTTTTACCAGCACGCTGGGGAAGGGGGAGGGCAGCGAAGGACTTCTGCATTAATCCACTTACAGAGCACAAGAGTGAGGAGGGAAAATTCCAGACGGGCCGGTGGACTCTGTCCCACCCTCCCCAAATGGCCCCAACAGTGGCACACGGCTGTGGGAACTGGGACGTGTGCAGGGGCAGCTCGGATTGTCACTTGGACGCAGCTTTCATTGTGTTTATTTTCCTTTCATATAAAATACAGGTTTGAAATGTCTGCAGGAAGATGCCACTATCAGCCAGGTTAGTGGGGATATATATATATTACAACGTAACGGGGTGAGGCATGAGGGAGGCGCTTCTGAAGAGTTGGGTTCCTTCTGACCTGGCGCGTGCCCACCCTTCCCTGGCTCCAGCCCCACCTGCAGGGACACCCGGTCCTGGTCCCCAAGACCAATCACAGCCCGGCTGCGGGGCTGGCACAGGGTGGGGCAACTCCCAGAGCCGGGAGGATGTCTTAAGGATGTCAGCCAATAAGTTAAACACCCACGGCCCCTGCGGTTCTCACGCAGGGGCTACCCTGACCCACGGGCTCCCCATCCCCCCAACACTGCTCCCTCCACCTGGCAGGGCTCCCAGAGGAGAGGGGAGGGCAAGTAAAGCCCCCCCCATCTGCTGACGGGTGCGTGAGGCGGAGACTTCGTGTTAGTACTGGGGCCATGGTGGCCCCCCGCACGCAGCAGCATCCAGCAGAGCTGGGCCAGGCGGGGGGCAAGACAGGAAGGGAGACAAGACCGCAGTGAGGGGACTCAAAGTGGGCACCAAGCCCACCCCACACTGCTGAAGAACAAAGACCACACGCTTTAAATAAGAAAGTGACACGTTTGGCCTGCAGCGGCCAGCCCGCTACACGAGGGGACCCCACTGGCAGTTCACGGGTGTCCTCCCCTCTATGTCCAGGACCCCAAAACAAGAGCGGAGAAAGCTGCTCAAAACTCAGGAAGGACTCAAAGTGACATGGTTGTTTAAGAAGTTCGATCCTGGCATTTGCTTGACCAAGTCCCAAGCCCAGGAGAAGCAAGCACTCAGTCACGCAAACCAGCACCCAAGGGGTGTGGGGGCAGCGGCCTGGCCCGTGTGCAGGACCTCCCTGCACACCTGCCTCCGACAGCCCACCTCACCAGCGAGCGCTGTGTCCAACAAGGAAGGTGGAGAGAGCAAGTGCGCCGCAGGGTAGGAGCCGGGGCCGCTCAGCCTCAGCAGGCGCCCCCATCCGTCAGGGACCTCCTGTCCTTCCCCGGGCAGAGCTTACTGCGCACTGGTGGAAAGGGTGGAGGAGCACCCCCCTGGCGCCACCAGGATGGAGCAGGGTAGGAGGGGAGCCCATGGGGGCGGGGGGACAGGAGATGGAGTTTAAGGCACACAGCAAACGACAGAAGAGGGGTCTGCCGGCCTTCCCCAGGACAGAAAGGCCCCTCCACTCTCCAACTTCACTCACCCCGGAACTCCTGGCCCCGGCTCAGGTACACCTACGTCCTCCCTTGCTCCATCTTCTTCCCAGCTCCCCAAAGCGCCAGGTGGTCGGGGAGATGAAGGGATGGGAAGAGGACGGTTCTGGGGCCAGTACTGTGACGGGAGCGCCAGCCCCAGGCCTACTGAAAGGCCACCTGGTGAACCTCTCTGGGTCACCTCAAAAGCTCACACCATCTTGCATTTAAAAAGCAGGGCAGGGAAAGTAAAAGGAGCCTCCCCGGTCTTCTCTGCTTTCTGCCCACCCGACTGGAAGTCCCCTTGCTTCCAGGTCCCCAGGGTACAGCCCCCCACCTTTCAGGGTCCTCCACCCTTGTCATTTCAGCAGGTTCAGGACCCTAGAATGTAGGGAGGGATGAAGAGTGTCCCACTGTGCCTTGGTCTGCCCATCTCCCTGTGCTATTCCCGAGTGGGAGGGGGGAGGAGAGAGGAATACAAAGTGAAAGCAGGAACCAAAACCAAAACCAAACCACGGGTTCACAAATCAGGAACGAGACCTGCCTGCTGGCTCCACGGTGGGCCTGGTGTCCGCTCCCACGGCGGAGGGCAGCAGGAAGCTACTGGGGCTCCTGCCCCGCACGGCGGAGGGCTGGCTGGGCCCGGGACACGTGCAGCCTGCCTGAGGACAGGTCCAAAGTCCCTCCCGGTCTCGGAGCCGCCCTCGGAGCCTCTCTCGAGCGTTCTCCTCACTCACGGCACCTACTTCTAGGTCTTCTCCTCCCGGTCTGTTTTTCTCCTTGTTATGTTCCTAGGTTTGATTTTCAGAGAAAGTTCCCACAGGGCCTCCTCCGCCAGGTGGTCGCTGAAGTCATTGAAGAAGTTTATGATGTCATCATTTCTTCGGATATCGTAGTGCCTGTGGGGGGCCTCCAGTCAGGGCCGGTGTGGGGCCAGCAGCCCGACGGCCTCCTGGAGGGGCCATGCGCACGGTCCCGGCACCGGAGCTCCCCATAGGCAGAGGGCTGGCAGCAGAAGCCTGGTCGCCCCTCTCCATGCTGTCCCAGGGAGCCCCCACTTCTTGGCCCACGCCCTGCACCCTCCCTGGATGTGCTGTGTGGAGAACAAGCTGGCCACCATCTCTGGATGCAGACCCCGTTCCACAGACCCCAGTGTTCCTTCGTCCCCTCCCCGCTCCGGTACTCACGCTTGCTGGAAGCACCGCATGCTGTCCAGAATGTTGAACTGCTGCCACCGTTTGGAAAAATTCACCTTCCCATCAATATAGTCTGGGTTCCCCAGGTGAACAAAGGTGAGGTCCTGCAGGATAAGCCCCCTGGGAGGATGGAGAGCCCAGTTACTGCTTCGGAGGGCACGTCTGGCCTGTGTTGGTCTCTTCCTGCGTGAACTCCTGACCTAGAAACTGTGGGTCCCTGGGAAAGCCAGCTCAGGTACGGCAGGGGAGCCTTGTAAAATACATGAATAGGAAAAAATAACCCAAAACCAAGGGGGGGAGGGAGGCATGGACAGCCTCTTTGTTAACAGGTGCTTCTCATTACAGAGAATGTGAAGCCATAAGGTGAGCGAGGGGGCCCAGCCGGCCGCCCCCAGGGGAAAGCAGGGTAGCATTCTGGGAGGGCAGCCCCCACCCCGGGCCACTGTGGAGTCTTCTGCCCCCCTCATGGAGGTTCCCAGTATCTACCAGCTTAGCAAGGGCTCTGACAACAAAGAAACCTGTCTAGCTTTGACTTTTTCCACTATTTCCTTCAGCTAATGTGACTAGGACTGCTTTCCCCAAACCCCCCATTTCCTCGATGCCATGGCTCACACTTGGGAAAACGCTCTCAGGGCTCCTGGGTGACTGACTGCAAGGTGCAGCCAAGTCTGAGGACCCTTGGTGGGGGGAAGCCTGGCAGATGCGGGAAGGAAACGGTAGCGGGACTGGGAGATGGGACAGCAGGACCGTTTACATTGGACCCGTCCTTTCTGTTTTAAAAGTAAAACCTGCTCCTTGTCACATAGTTTAAAGTTAAAATAGAAGTCTAATCGTCTGAGCTGGAAACCTTTAAGGGAGGGTTTCTGTATCTACACCTATGTCTCCCCCAGAGCAGCCGGGGGGCAAACCTGCAGGGAGCTCTACTCACAGGTAGGGGATGCAGGGGGGCTCCACCTCGGAGAGGGCGGCCCGGTAGGCGCGGAAGGAGGACGAGCTGTCGATCAGTGTACAGTACTCGGCCAGGCCCTGGGCGGGAGGGATAGTGTGTGAGGGCTGAGACCATGCTGGGGCCCCAGTGCCAGCCTCCTCCCTGACCCACCCGCCGCTGCCCAGCCCTGGGCCCTGCCTCGGCTACAGGGAGACCGGGCCTGCTGCGGAGAACTGGCTCCCAGGCCCGCATATGCCTGCTGCAGAACCACGGCTCGGAGGGCCTGGAGCCAGGCCTCCTGCTGGGTGCCACCCCACACCGTAGCCCAAGGAGGCTTCTCACGCACACCAGGAATGGTGCCATCCCTGGCTCCCAGCCTGCCTTTGATCCTCGCTGCGCTCCAGGCAGAGCTGACTAGGCTCAGCAGGTGACCTCGCTGAGCTGCTGCTGCCCCCTCCCACCCACTGCTTGCCTCTTCACCTTTTAGCTGCCTCGGACCCGGAGTGTCACCTCCTCAGGACCTCCTAGGTGTTTCTGTGGCAGCCAGTGTGAATGTCCCATGCTTCTCCATACAACAGACTTACAACTTTCTCTTTATGTCACCCCTTAAGAGAACACCTGGGTGGCCCAGCTAACACCCAGCCCCTATGGGCTTTGCCTCTCTTCTCAAGGAACCTCCCCACACAAGGATAAAGGTCTAGTTCCTTGCCAGGCCTCCGCAAAGCCCTCCTGGTCCAGAGCAGGTCCCCTCCCCAGTGACACAGCCACACTGGCCCCCGTCCTGCTGCTTGAGTGTGCCAGTTTCTAGACGCTTCTGTCCCCTCTGACCGGAATTCCCTTTCTTCCGAGCAAACTCTTCCTATTTGGGTCTTGGTGTGATTGACCATCCCTCAGGGGACCTCCCCGACCCTTGAACGGGCCAGATGACCCCATCCTTTCCCCTTTGGCAATTACCCTAAAGAAATCAATAGGTCTGTCCTGTACAGTACGTTCCTAAGGACTAATGCTGCTGGCAGCCCAGAACAGCACCTCCAGAAGCATGGGTGCAAGGAAGAAAGGAAGAAAGCAGTGAAGCAGGGACCCAGGTATGATCCTGCAGCCCAGACAGCAGGACCCTGTGAGGGGATAAGCCCAGCACAAACCACGCAGCCCCTTCAGGCCCAAAGACTGGAGATTAGCCACAGCAAACAGGGGTGGGGGTTGGGGGGTGGTTGGCAGCTGAGCAGATACCTGAGCACCTTCCCCAACAGCTGGCTCTCCAGGGGCTGGGCGGGCCTCCCACCTCCTCCCTCCCCGCCACTCACCTCCGAGGTCTGCTTCTGCCACTCCAGCCTGCGGATGGGAGCCGAGTCCAGGGCTGAGAGGATGGCCAGGTAGGAGTTAAAGTTGTTCAGCTTCCGTAAGTGCTGCAGAGAGAGGGGAGGCAGCCGTGAGGCTGGCCCAGGGCTGCTGGGCAGGGTCCGAAGGAGGAGACTCTGGGGAGGGCAGCCACAGTTACCTTCATGATCTTGATGAACTTCAACAGCAGCCGCTCCCTGTCCTGGGCTTTTTCTTGTAACATGATTATTGACCGGACCCTGCAGGAACCCATGGGAAAAAGAGATGGCTGAACTGACTGGTCTCCTTCTAGACCCCTAGGTGGTCCTAGTGGAGAGAGAGGGATGTGGACACCTGCACCACATGCCCAGGGCTTTTGAGGTGTCAAGCATAGCTCCCCCCATTTCTGCTCTCGAGGAGCTCACAGCATCCCAGGGATGGGCTGAGAGGTCACAAAGCCTGATGGGGACCTCGGGCCGTGCGTGCAGATGGAGGCTTTGTAACATCCAAGCAGAGATTCCCTGACAAGTGCTGACCTGAGCACCCCTGGGGCTGGAAATGCTCCTCATGTGGCCTCAGGATTAGTTCAGGAGACGAGTGAGCATGTGGGTTAGGAGGGCACATTGAGAATCTGAGCAGCAACCCCAAGGCCAGCCTTGCACGCGGACCTCACCGTGCCCTGGAGACCCTCTGGCTTCACACGGCCACGGCCAGTCCCCTCAGATGGGGTGCTGCCTCTGCTTGTCTTTGGCCCCAGTGAAGGGTGCCTGCCCTGAGCACACCCTGAGGACCATGGCTCAGAGGGGCCCCCCTGTACCTCCTCCTTGGAACCCCGAGGCGTGTGCCCAGCAGGGGGCTGGGTCGGAGGCTGGGCTCAGGGCCGTGTGCAGTTTCCGTCTGCCCTGCAAGCCCCTGCTTCCTGTGGCGGCTTGCTACGGCTGAGCTCACGCTGCTGAGGAGCGCGGCACTTCCTGTGGTGGCAGAAAAGCCGGCAACGTGGGACATGACCCAGGTTCCCGCCAACAAGCAGTCCTCGGAGCGTCTGACACATCTTGGATGTTCCGTCAGTGGCAGCAGTGGGCTTCGTGGCTACCACGCTCTGACCATCCTCTGTTTGACGCAGAGAGGCTGGGGGCGCCTTGAAGTCACATCTCGAAAAGCTGACCATTCTTTACATATTATAGGGTAAGTGTAGCTTCGGGCTTCGTTTTGCTTTAAGAATTCAGGCCTAGTTCAAGTATTAACGGGAAGGCACTCCTCTGCTGTTCTCTTTCAGGCAGCATGCGTGTGAGGCTCAGCCCTGAGGCCGCCTGGCAGTGGGAAGCTGGACCGTGACCAGCTCAGGATGGCGCAGTGACCACCCCTGCCACCACCTATGGCAGACATTACTAATCGATCCCGGCTCTCCTCCCCGTCCCAGGCTCCTCCTCAGCCAGCGTGCTCTCTGCTGCCTGCAGTTCCCAAGTAATGCCCACGGTCTCGGAAGGAGCTAGGAGGAAAAGGGCACCTCCTCCTTGTGTGAAGGAGAGCACAGGGACCCAGCCAGATGTGCTGCGATAGAAAACCGGGGCTTCGCACAGCCTCCCCTTCTTACCAGTAGGACATATTGTTGAAGTGCTCCGTGAACTGGGTCAAGTTGGGGCTTTTCTCCTCATTCTGCTCTTTTGCCCAAAGCAAAACCTCAGGAATCTGAAAGAGAAGTAGACCGGATGGAGCTGGAGCCCTCTGGCTTCCCGACGATGGGCAGGTTCTCCTGCTTAGGGACCAGCAGCAGCTGCTCACCCCGGGGCAAGGGACAGCCTTCTTCCCAGCGCTGCTCAACGCCATACCTCTATTTTATAAAAGAGCTCAGCATCCAGCAGGGTCAGCTGCTCGGCTATTTCATGGCTGTGAAAGTCATGCAAAGTCCCCGGCCTAGAAGACAGAGGCATGAGATGAGCGGTGGGGACAGGGACAGCGGGAGCTGGCTGGGCGCCGTCCTGCGGCCTCAGAGCCAGGCGGCCAGAGCGAGCAGCCGCCCCAAGCCTGGCCTCACGGCAGGACGACGGCAGCTTCAGAGCTGACCAGTGGCAGGGCAGGACCAGACTGCATTCCTGCCGGGGACCGTGGTGCCTCTGCCGGGTGGGTCCCACTGCCTGAGGGGCCCAGCGGGAACAGAGATGGCTCCCCAGGGATGAAGACTGAAACTCGCTGACAAGGAAGTGATGCTTCAACATCTATGACTAGGACGCAGGTAACAGACTAGAGCCTGTACAGGTTAGGAATGTTCAGGATGGCCCGGGGGGTGGGGTGGGGGTGGTCAAGAATTCACAGCTACCGTGTTAGTGCTGGGAAGACAAGAGCTGACCACAGCCCGGAATGCATTCACCTGTCCCTTGTCCTAGTAAGTGCCCCCCGCCCTGCTTCCTCACTTCCTGGTTAAAAAGGGGCGTTTTTTTAAATCACCCATCATGACCCCCTGGAGGAGAGGCCCAGCCCCTGGCGAACCCACTGGGCTGTCCACAAGACCACCCCAACCCATCGCAGGGCCTGGGCAGAACCAGGAAGAGAGGCTCTAGGGCTGGGGAGGTGGCTACCGGGCACCACTCCCGTGGAGGGCCGGAGAAGCCACGGGCAGACAGCTGGTGGCTCACCTGGCGGCTACCCCCCGGGCTGCCAGGGGCTGGTCGGAGTTGGCACACCTGAGCAGCTTCTTCTGGTCCACCTTGTCCAGGATGTTCTTCCGGAGCACGCGGGCCAGGCTGAGCTCCCCGTTGCACACCAAGCGGAAGACCAGCTCCATCAGCAGCTTCAAGATCTCTTCTGTCAACTCCACGAGGCTAGAGGACCAACGGCCACACAGTGAGGGGCCGGGACACAGCCCAGGAAGAGGACGGCTGCCATCGGGCCCAGAATCCACCTCAGAATACCCAAGGGTCACATGGCACCGACCAGCAGGGCTAGGAAACCTCCTCAGGGAAAAGAGCAAGAAAAGGTGTCGGGATGGCCACCCGGAGCCTCAAAAGTGCCAGGAGAGGTCCCGTCCTGCTGGTGACACGAATGGCCCCGCTCTCAGTAAATGCTCGCTGGCACTGGACAAGCTCCAGGGCCCCCGTTTGGGCCCGGGGCCACGGAGACACTCCCACTCCGATCCTGTCCCAGAGGAGGCCCCTGGTCCTGCCTGGGTGGTGATTCACTACGAGGCCCCAGCCCCTCAGAGCAGCCGCCTGCAGGCCGCTCCTGAACTCCCTCTGCGCAGCGCTTTCTGTGCCCGGCGGTCTCAGTGCTGTCCCGGGCTGAGGCCACCCTCCCCGCAGAAGGGAAGTGCCTTGAAGGCAGGGCCCGCAGTTTCCTTCACCACGGCTCTCCAGACCTAGGAGACTGAGCGGCTGGACGTGCGCTTGTTAAATGAATGGTGACGGTGAGTGCTGAGTCTGGGGGGACTAGGCTATGCTGCATGTGCGAGGGACGGCCCCCACGAGGAGAGCGGTGTGGCCTGTGGCTGGGTCATTCTCCCCAAGGGTCTTGTTCAGGTGGGCAGGAGCAAGCCCGACCCAGAGCTGCAGGGCGGGGCTCTGTGGGCACAGCTTGAGAGAAGTGGGGGGAATGGGACGGGATGTCCCCAGCTCAGCAAGGAAGCCTGCAGCCCCGGTGGGGAACCCTGGGGTGCCCCAGCGTCCCTACCACCTCCTGGGTACAAGCACTCACCACAGCTCATCCACCACCCGCACCAGCACAAAGAACGTGTTCTTGCTGACACGTTTCTTGAATGTGTCGGCGAAGGGAGAAAACTTCTCGTACGTGGAGTGTAGGTTAAGGAAAGCCATTCTCACACAGGCAGGGGTGGGCTGAGGACAGGGGAGGGCTACTTCTCCCAGCTGCCGTTTCCAGGGTGCTTATGATGTACACGAGCCCCGCTTCCACTGCCTTTCCGTCGGGTCCTCCCAAGCTTCCCATGGGACTTACTGAAACGTTGCAGGCTGCCCTGCTGAGCCTCAGGTGGAAAAAGGTGGTCAAAAACCAAATGCCCTAAACACTCTCTCAATGGGACTGGGGGGGGGGCGGTGTGGTCCATAGGTGCCTCCTGCACTCTTGCCGTCTCTCCGTAGCTTCAGACGCCCCTTCCCCTCAGCAGCCACACACCAGGCCACCTCTAGCTCCTTGCCAAGGTCGTGGTTTCCGCCTGGAGGGGCAAAGATTCTCACCATCCTCTCACATCCTCTGCTGTGGCTGTCTTTCCTGCTCTCCAGGGATCCACGGGTGCTCAGGAAGGAGCCTCGCACCAAGGACTGTCCCCAGAGCCTGTAGCCGCCACGCAGGGTAGGGGCTGGGAACCTGAGCTCAGGAGTGTGTGTGGGTCACTTAAGCTCTCCGAGGCTGTTTCCTCAATCACGTAATAGGTAGTAATTTAACAGCATCTATAATACTGTAATAATATATCAAGCAGTTTTATAATTAAGTGAGCCTTCACGTGCACGGGCTTAGCATCCCGTCCGACACTAGGAAGTTCTCAACAAGTGTGAGTTACTATCACTTGCTGAGCCAGGCCTGGGAGCAACTGAACGCGTGAGGCTATAGAGAACAAGTCTCTGCAGTGGGGGCTGTCTACTTCCATCTTGAGGGACCAGGTCCTCTAGGGCTGGGCCACAGGGGTCCGGAGGAGACAAGAGGCCAAGCCTCAGGGCACGCAGGAAGGGAAGGGGGACAGCCTGGAGGACTCAGGACTTCCTGCCCCGGGCAGTAGCAGTTGTCCAGCAGATGGCAGTCGTGGGCTGTGGCATGGGGAGGTGGCCCGCTGTTACAGCAGCTCAGGTCGGCCTCCGCAGGAGGAGCAGGTTTGAGAGAAAGTCAATGACGCTGGGTCCTAGGGCCTGGGGTCATCCTCAACCATTACTGCATGGTCGTCCTCAGAAGGGTGAGCCCGTGACGCAGATACGGGTGACGGGTAGGAGCCAATGCTGTCTGGACATGGTCTTTCTGTCAACTGCTGGGTCTGCCACCAGGCGGAGTGGCTGTGCCTTCCCCCGAGGCTGTTCATGGGAGTCTTGACTCCCACAAGCCCCGCACGCTTGGGACCTATCACCTCAATGGCCTGCGGCTCGGCTCAGAAGCTGCAGGTGCCAGCGACCTGGGCCTCCGCAGGGGCCTGAGCACATTCTCCCTCTCGCGGTGGGTCAGTTCCTTCTAACTCCTTTTCAGGGCTTCCTAGTGACCACAGCAGCTGTTAGCACACCCGTGACTTGGCACCTCCTATCATCTCACTCAGCACTCAGACAAGGAAGGAGACTGGAAGGGGAAGCCCGGCCTGAGGTCCCAAAGCTAGGGCGCGGGGGAGCAGGCAAGAAAGGCCCTCTCTCTCCTGGCTGGCTCTGAAGGCTCCATGCCGGGAGGGGTGTGGGGCCGGGGCTGGGGGACTACGGGAAAGGATATCTGTACTGCAGCTTCTTGATGAGCTCCTCCGGGGTGATGAAGGTCCTGTAGGTGGTCAAGAAGGCCTCACAGTACAACACCAAATCTAGAGCGAAGAACAACTGATGAGCGATGCCTGCCACTGGCAGGAGACAAAGATGGGCAGCTCGCCTGCCGCACATACTTGCCATCCCTGACCACACATCAAGAGCTTCTTATCTGTCCTAAGACTCGATGATTCAAAGGGTAGTAATTGTGCGCATAGAAAAAATAATTCAAACTCATCAGCAGAATTTTGAGGCTAAATCACAGGTGATACTTTAGATGGCAGGAGCAAGCCCGACCCAGAGCTGCAGGGCGGGGCTCTGTGGGCACAGTTTGAAAGAAGTGGGGGGAATGGGACGGGATGTCCCCAGCTCTTTTGTTCCTGGACAAAAATCTTGGGAATTTCCACATCTTGAGAGACCTAAGATAAGGCTGTTCTTCTCTGGACACGGACCCCCTTCTCCTGTCTTCTCTCGTTCATCCCCCAGCTCGCCAGGTGGAAGAAGCGAGAGGATCCCTGCTTCTCCAGAGGAGCAGTGCAGGCTCCTGTGCCCTGGCCAATCACCTCCAGGACAATCGAAAGCAAAAGCAACACCTGCTCTGGCATCTGGGGTCTGGAGTCTGTGCAGGGGTGGGCCTGGCTGGAAGCACAGAGCATGGCCCAACAGCATCCTGCTCAGACTCCTCCTTCCTAGATCCTAACTCACCAGCTCACTGCCCACTGGGGCTTTTGTTCAAAGACGGGCTAGGTGAGGAGGCAGAGATGGGCCCAGCAGAGGCCACTGCCTGCTTCTGGAAGAACAGATTCAAGTCTGCATGCCCTAAGCCGTGGGCGATCCAGTATAGTAGCATTGGGGTGGTCTCCGGTCCACAGGAAGCCACTGCCCAAGGAACGTGCTATGTGGCCCAGGGCCTCTACCTCCACCATCCATCCATGTACAAATGACTTTGGTTCCCTGTGGCCCTAGAATCTCTCCATGACTGAGATCAAGTGGAGGTCCCAGCTGGTGGCAGCGCCTCCTTTCCTGGGCACCATTGGCCACCTGGAAGGCTCTGGACTGCCCTGTCCACGGGGCTCCCTCTGGCAGGGGCTGCAGCTGGCTGCAGCTGCAGGACAGCAAGGCTTACTGTTCCAACCTGAGGATGGAGCCAGCTCCCACCTCAGTCCTTCAGATAAAAATGAAAACTGTTCCTCTCGCCCAGATGAGGCTGGTGCTCAGGCTCGCGTCGAGGAGGGTCTGCTGCAGAGAAGCAGAGCGAGGGCTGCTCCTGAGCACGGCCTCACATCAGCTCCGCGCATCTCCCTGTCCACTGGGGACCTCTTCAAACAGCTGGGTCAGCTGAGGCCGGGCCGGGCCGGGGCGTGCCTGGCTTTGAACTCAGTCCCCAGGACCGGGCTCTGCCCTAGTCCAGAGAAACCAGGGGTAAAGAAACCGCAGAAGGCAAAACAGTGGCTACAGTGGTTTGTTGGAGTTATTTCTTCTTTTTCTCTATTCTCCAACTTCTCTGCAATGTGACCATTTCTGTACTACTTTCATAATTTAAAAATTCCCAGAATCATTCTGTGTAACAGGGAAATCTGCTGTAAAAACAGGGACATGGTCATATATAAAAGTAATGTTGGTGGGTGAGGGTTTCAGGATTGGGGCATTTTAATTCTTCCCAGAACTGGCTTTAATACTGTTGTCACATCCCCTTTTTAATAACTTTCAAAGACATAGAGGGAGAGGAGTCTGGGGAGCACCCCTCCCCCGTCCTGGCGGAGGTCAAGGTCATGGCACCTCCTCTCCCGCTTTCTGCCAGAACCCGAGGTGGAGTGAGCGCGCTTTTGCTAGCAGAGTCCACCCAACAGCAGTTCCCCTGGATCAGAAGCCCGTCCTAGGACGGTGCCACCACTGCTCTAAGACTGGGCTCCGGACAGAACACGTGCTGGGGTCTGCTTGTGGAGCCACGAGTGAAATCCTGTCTAGTGTCTGGAATAACACAGCGGGTCAGACCTCAGGAAGCGCTGAAACAGCTACCTACGTGTTGTTACCTGAGGTGCCGCTGGCGGAGCACCTAACCAGGTTCTGCGCTCGCAGCTTCCCCTCTGCCGCCTCTGGGGACCCTTCACCGTGGAGGGTGCACCCTGAGAGGGCTGGTCTCATCCCCAGGGTGGGCTCTCCGCACAGTGGCCGCGGGCACCAGGACCACGTTCTGACCCCCGGAGGGCTGTGGGGCCAGCCCGCCCCAAGGGCTGTGACAGAGACCAAGGCCCCCGCCCAGAGCACTGCCGCACCTTTCCTGTCTGTCTCAGTAGCGTGCACCAGTAGGATATCTCCAGACCCGCCACGGACGTCTGGCCCGTCGTCACCCTGCAAGGACAAAGCAAAGGAGGGCATGGAGCAGAATTCAACCATAAGAGAGTTGGATCAGAAAGTTCTAGGCAGAGACGAGATGACCAAGCCGCTGCATTGCGGAGAGCCCGGGCCGCCTTCCCTCCGCCCCCCCCCCCCGCCCCCCACCTAGGAGCAATGCTCTGCACTCCGCAGACAGGACAGACCAGAACTCCTCTGGGAGGTGGACGGCCCTGGGAGCTGTCCAGACACCAGGGCACATTGCACTGGGTCACTCCAGAGTTGGGGGACGATGGCCCCATTAGATCTCTCCCTCTTCACCAACCCAGGGGGCAGGGAGGTGAGGAGGGGAGTTCTCCTGCCGGGACGGTGGGACCCACAGGGAGGCAGGCAGGACTGCCACCAGCCACTCCCAAGAAGACTGTAGAGGCAGCAGGGCTATTTCCAAGTACGGTCACGTTCCTAAAACTGCAGCAAGCCATCCTAAATTTACATCTGTTTCTCTAGGTGCAAGGAGAAGTCACTTGTCATAACCTCACAAATTCCACAGGGAGCCCTCAGAGGAGTGTAAAGTGTCACAAAGACGTTCAATTGTGCCTGATGTCGCTTCTGTGATACCAGCTGCCCTCTGCCAATTAAGTAAAAAGTCTTACTTTCATGTTGGCAAACAGAAACTTTAGCCCATAAGCCAGAGCGAGCGGTCAGCAGGGCCAGGAATGGGAGCACAGCACCAGGCCTGCCTGAGCGCACCACCCCCAACCTCTGGTTCTGAAGGAAACCAACCTCACGAGCCCCCACGGGTTCACGGCCCTCAATTTTGGAAATGCACCTGCCTCTCCAGGGCATCCGTGTTTTCACCCCTGGATTCCAGAGTCCCGAGAGCATCTTGGATCTCCAGCTAAGGCTGAGGGTAGCTATGCCCAGGACCTGATTTTTCAGAAGGACTTTCTGGCAAGGGTCACGAAGCATCACTTCTCTCTGCGGACAAGCCGGCTGCCCCACTGTCCCCGCCTGCCCTGCCCTGCCTGTTCCGCTCGGCCCAGCCTGGCACTGTGCAAAGGGCAGAATCCGCCTGCTTGTCTGTGTGTCTGTGTGTGCGCTGCCATGGAGCCGGAGCCCAGAAACACAGTCACTTCCCCAGGGCTGGGTCGGGGCTATCACATTAAGAGGTTCCTCTGTGTTTCCAGAATCGCACAAGGCCCTCCTGACAAGCCACAGGACAGAGGCGGCTGTAGGCCAGGGATTTCTGAATCAGACTGTGCCTCCCACTGAAACTACAGTGGGTTATTCGGTCAATACGAATGTGAAGGCAGCTTATGCTGAGGGCTCACCACGCTCAGGCTCTATGCTGAGCACCCTACACGGGTTTCACTGTTATAATATCCTCCAGAGTCCTGTCCTCTGGGGCTTAGAGATGTTAAGTGACTTGCCCAAGATGACTCTCTAGAAGTGTCAGAGAAGGGGACGGTGCACTTTCTCCAGGAGACCATCCATTTGCCCAGGATCCTTCAGCACCCCCAGTGGCCCAGGCATGGGTCAGGATAAATGCCGTGCACAGAGCCCACGAAATGTGGGGTGGCCACCTCATGTGTTGGTGCCTTGCATGGGTCCTTCTGTTTGAGACACCTCAAGGTTACATTGTCCTCAAAGCCCCCTCACCCCCTTTATGGACCAGACCACACAAGGCCTGTACTCACCTCCTGCTTGAGTGTCAGCCTTGCCATAATCTCATTGTGGTCGATGAGAGACAGCTCATCCACTTCCTCCTCCGATCGAGCCAACTCTGAACCATCTGGTGACCTTGAGGCCCTAGAGAGAGAAGTGGTTTATGTTGCAAGGGTCCAGCAGACACTGGGGTCCGGGACACCAGGGGGCTGAAGCAGTATGGCCCTTTGCGTGACTACGAGTTACGACTGCCCCTAACAGGTTCTCCTGGAACTGCAGCTCCCACATGAAGGCCATACTGCTCCCCACCCCCAGCACAGGGGGTCTGAGTGGAGGCCGGAAGCCAGGGCAGGGACTGGATTTCCAGCGCCACTACTGATGACTTCTGTGACCTTGGGACATTTCTTGCTCTCTGTGGATGCTCTGTCAATGGAAGGGATTAAGAAAGAGACTGGGGAGCCTGGGTGGCTCAGTGGGTTAAGCATCTGACTCTTGATCTCAGCTTAGTTCTTGATCTCAGGGTCATGAGTTCAAGTCCTGCGTTGGGCTCCATGCTGGGCGTGGAGCCTACTTTAAAAAAAAAAAAAAAAGAATAAAGAAAAAAAAATGGAAAGAAGAAAAAAAGATCAAGAAGGTTTCATTGAGCTATTTAAATAAGTGATGGGATCAGTCACTCTGTCAAGGCCACCATATGCACAGTCAGTATTCAAAGACAGGAAGAGCAAGAGGGCAAGCAGGTTGGGAGAGTTTGCATGGCTATTAATGTCATTCCTCAAGTCTTTTCCAAGGGCCACCTGTCGGACTGAGAAGCATGAACCAGGGGGACTGGCCCTTGCCCTTGGGGTGCTGGGTGCAGCAGGAGAGACTGATGTTAAAACGAGCAGTAGGGGCAGTAGCCTGAGCAGAAAGCCCAGCCCGGTGTGAAGGGCAGCAGGCCCCTGCGGCAGGACAGCCGAGCGGAGACCTGCGGCACTGAGCAGGAGTTTGCTGGTGAAGGGGGAGGAGGAGAGAACCGCCAGCAGAGGGGAAATGTGGGGCAGCGAGGGGGCATTCCGGGAGCAGACGGACGCTGGTGTGCAGGCACCTTGCTTCCCTGGCATTTTCTCCCATATCCCCATTTTATTCTGATGATTTCCACCATGCCGGCCTTGTGGTCATAGGCCACATTTTTAACCCTGAGTATGTGAGACATAAAAATTTGTGCCTTCAGTAAGGCAAGGATGGCCCAGAGCAAAATCACACACGGTCCTGGGAAGAACCATCTGCTACATGTCCCTTCAGTGTCGGGTCTGTGCTCTGGCCTTCGTGGAAAGAGGACAACATTTTCATAATTGCTTCTAAGCAGTCAATGTGCTCATCCTTTTGGGTTTTTTTTTTTTTTTTTTTTAACAAGGGCCATCTGCAACTCTGAAAAATGGTGCTCTCGCGTTCAGTGCGGCTGGAGGCAGAACCCGTGGGCTCAAGTTGCTTGGTGCAGACACCGTTTGCTACCAGGTGTTCAACTACAAAACCCATCACCCCCTGCTTAACCTGTGGGGAGATCTTAGCCCAGGCAGACGGATCAGGCAGACTCCACATGGATAGCACCTAGGACTGGCCACCAGCAGGCTGGGCGGGCAGCCCTCTACAGCAGGCCCCTACAGAATGAATGCTTTCTGTTTTTATTCCTGTCTCTTGCTATTTTATTTTTACCACCTCTTCAACCACTTATGCTTAGGCCTGACAAGTGGGTACTGCCTGGCTCTGTGCCTAGAACCCCAGAGGTAGCTGAACCTTGGTCTGGAGAGGGAGGAAAAGCTTGAACTTGTAGAACAGTTCACTAAGAAGGCGATGTCAACATGAAGTTGCGGATGGCAAGGTGGATCTGCAGGCCCTACACATGGAGAAATTTACTACATATTTCTAAACCTGGTCAGGTGTGACTTGTGCTAATACTGAAAAATGTTACAGAAGATTAAAGAGACATACAACTAAATGTACTGACTCCTGACTGGTCTTGGTTCTAAAAAAAATAAGCTACACAAGTTAATTTTAGGGAGGACTGGGGAAATGGAAGATGGTTTGCATATCAGATGATATGAGGGAATATATTATTAATTTTCTTAGGTGTGATGATGGTATTGTAATACGGTAGGCTTTTAAAATATTTTAGGAGGAGGGGTGCCTGGGTGGTTCAGTCAGTTAAGCATCCAACTCTTTTTTTTTTAAAAGATATTTCTTTATTGAGAGAGAGCGTGAGAGTGAGCACAGGCAGGGGAGGGGTACAGAGAGATGGAGAAGCAGACTCCCCACTGAGCAGGGAGCCCTATGCGGGGCTGGATCCCAAGACCCTGGGATCATGACCTAAGCTGAAGGCAGATGCATAACTGACTGGGCCACCCAGGAGCCCTAAGCGTCCAACTCTTGATTTCAGCTCAAGTCATGATCTCAGGGTCGTGAGATCAAGCTCTGCGTCGGGCTCTGTTCTGGGTGGGGAATCTGCTTGAGATTCTCTCTCTCTCCCCCTCTTGCCCACACCCCGACCCCCACATGCTCTCTCTCTCTCTCTAAAATAAATAAGTCTTTTTAAAAAATTAAAATATTTTAGGAGGCACACTGAAGTATTTAGGGGCTGAATGTCATGTCTGTAACTTACTTTCAAATGGTTTAACAACACAATATACACACCACATCTAGTAACTCACAATAAAAAGTTTTTTTTGGGCGTCTTTGACACCCCCTTAGTGCGCCTGAACTTGGAAGAGGCCGAGGAAGGTTGGCCTGGGATTTAAGACTGTCATGGGTCATTTGTAGAGTAGATCATATGTGAGCACATAATCAGGAAGTAGGGCAGACTGCATGCCAGAATGAAGGTCTTTAAGGGTGGGATTATTAGTGACATATCTGGTTGACTCACACATTTCTGTACTTGCCATGTTTTCTACCCTGAACACACACAATTTTGCGAGTCAGAAGAAAGGAAAGGGTGTAGACCTCAAGCTCCCGCAGGCCTGGCGTGCTTGTGGGCAAGGGGCCGCCCTCCCCAGCCGGGCCTGCAGCTTTCAGGGAACCTGCTCCACCTGGTCACTCCCTACCTGTCACCGTCTCTGCTCTCCTTCCCGGCTGCGCTGCTGGCCGACGAGGGATCTCTGGGATGTCCGTCTTTCATAGCTGGTGATTCCTGAAAGGAGAAGTCAGTAGTGGGTTTGTGACAGGTGCCCCATGCTGGGAGGATCTGTTTCCCAGCATTCCCGCCTGCAAGTGGCCTCTGAGCGCAAGTTCCTATGGAGCAATCCGATATGTGAACAAGGTAACCGTGAATGTGGTTAATGACACAGGAAGGGCAAGGCCCTCTTCGGACTAGCATCTTGCCTTTATGGACAGTGACAGGTGCCCCTACTTAGGACCTCTGTCAGCTGCCAACCTAGATGAAGCCATCCCAAGCACCTCCTAGGAGAAAGGACTATCACGGTTGCCACTACTCGGCCAGGCTCAGCCAAGCACGGTGCTAAGGGCTTCATGTACCTCTTCTCGCCCGGCCCTGACCAAGACCCTGTCTGTTCACTGGCATCACTGTGCCCACTCACTCACTCTCTCTCTCTCTCTCTCTCTCTCTCTCTCACACACACACACACACACACACACACAGAGGCTGGGAGCGACTGAAGGCCCTGCCCAAGACCACACAGCTAGAAGGCTGCAGCCTGCATTCAAACCCAGGGTTGTCTGCCTCCAAAACCTGTGTCTTTAACCACGGTGCCCCGCCGGTGTGCAACAAACCTTTGCTGACTTCCTAGTTAAACCAAGTCCTCAGGACTGCCACGTTCAACTGCCTCCCAGTAGAGTTCCAAGGGGTCTAAGTGCTCGAGCGCATGAGTGCAACCCCCTCTCCTCCAGCGGCCTGGCCCTGGGCATCTGGGCCCATCCCACTCAGTGACAACATGGCTATCTGGCATCCCTGGTCTGCCACCGAGGCCACAACAGAGAGCAGGGCGGCATGGAAACACAGATTATCCTAAGGGACAGTGCTCTGGGGAAAAGTCAGCACTGACCGTGGTCATGGGTTGGGGGGGGGGGGAGAGCCACGGAAGGCCAGCTAGGGGTAGGCTCCATTGTGTGGAGGCCAAGCTGGATGATGCGGGGGCACAGGTCAGCAGAGCGGACAGGTGAGGAGCGAACATCAGAAGAGGAACAGCTTCCATGGACAGGGTCGAATCCCACCGGGGTGAAAACTCGTGTTCTAGGACTTGCTAATGCCTCAAGTGGGGCTCGCCTTGTGTGGACAGCTAACATCCTGTGGGGATGCCCTTGGTGGGGGGGTGCATCTTACGAGGAGTGACCATACTTTCAATGGGCTGGCCCTGGGAGCTGATCACCAGGGAGGACTCGAGGCCTCATGGCCCCTCCTCTCAAGGGACTCATGGTTTTTTGAAGCTTTTGAACTTGTTCATGTTTTGCTGCAGCAAAGCCCGGCAAGCTGACTGCTCAGCAGACGGCCATATCGAGCCGGGACAGAAGTCAGCCAAAGGTGGCCACATCAGGTGTTTCCCTACGCTCTCAGGAGGGAGGTGCATTAACACAGCACGGGCTCACTGCCAGACCCCCCCGGCTTCTGAGGAAGCTGCTCCTGTGGGGATGAAGGAGAGTGCTGGGGGAGCACGAGGGGGCGAAGGCTCGGGAGGCTTGGTGTAGGAGAGAAGACTCCTGCCCTCTGGGTAGGGGACGGAAGATGGACCTCAACACCAGAAGACAGGACAGAAAGAAATCCCGGAGAGCAACCGATGTGTGGCCAGGCCAACACCATGCTGCCTCTGCAGATTTCCAGAAGACCCCTGTGGCCTGAAGAGTGCCACATGCACTGAAAGCAGAGAGAGGCCCTCCTCCAGGAGCCACGTCCTCTCCCCACAGAGCCATGCTGGCTCTCGGCAAGGCGGCGGGGCCCCAGCCTGCCTGCTAGCGACCGGGAGGCTCAGCCAGGCAGAAGCAGGGCCCAACCCTGCCAGGCCAGGCCACATGCACGAGGCAGCCCCGAGGTTACTTACTCCTCGAGAGTGAGCCAGCTCCTCGCTGCCCTGGCCAGAGGAATACAAACTGATGTATTCACCCTCACCAGCCTCCTCACTGGTGTTTTCACTCTGGGGGAGACAGGATGAGAGCAAGTGCACATGTGACAGGCCCCCTAGGCAGCCGGCACGGCTCAGAGGGCTGGCCCTGCCTGGGGCCCTCCTCCCGTGGGGAGGAAAAGGGGCAGCGGCGGGCCCTCGCTGCTCCTTGGGAAGCTTCCCCCCGGCCAGAGGACGCTGCTGCTTTGCCACCTCTTGCCTGTGTTACAGGGGACGTAACTTTCCTGCTGGATCTTCCCCAAAGAGGGGGAGGGCCGTTCAAACTGCCCTGAGGAGGCGCACTCCTCCCTGCGCTCCCCAGAGGGGTTCCCAGCGCCACGGGCGGGCGGGCCGGGGAGGGAGAGAGGCAACACCAGACAAGTCAACACGCGGCTGCGCCCTGCGCCCTGCACCCTGCAAGGTGGTGGCCCCGTGCCCCGATGAAGAACTCAGTGAGCGGAACGGCACAGGCAGCAGGCCCTCCGTCAGCAGCACACGCGGCACCAGAGGCCACCACCTCTGACCTCTGTCAGGGTCCTGTCTGCATCTGTCTTCCCAGCGGGTCGGTAGCTTTCTCTAACAACACACAACCCAACGGAAAACCGGGAGCATTTTCTGTCTCCTGCGCATGAGGACTGTCTCTAAGTGGTCACTAATCCGTTGGTGGAAAATCAGATTCCCCATCTGACGGGAACTTTGTACGGAAGGTTCCCTTTTCTGTTCTGGAGACAGGGTACTACTGCACTTTGTGACCTTCCGGGGACCCGGACCTAGCCCCGCTGTTACGGGCACGTGCCGGCAACGGGCCTGGCTACTGGTGACAGGCGGTGACGGCGGGCTCGTGAACGGCCATCCGGCGGCCCCACGTGGAGGGGGGTGTGCGCTGAGTTCTCACCGAAGGCGTCTGGGGCGAGTCAGTGAGAGAGATTTCGGAAGGAAGGCGGACAGTGTTCCCATGAAAGCTGCTCTCCTGAGAAGATGAGAGAGGCCCGTCCACGGTGCTGGGAGGCAGACTGGCTACGGCTGGCACCGCTAAGTCAGAGCTCTGAGACTGGTGGACGGGTGGGAAATGTGGAGAGGAAGAGGAGGTAGGCGGAAGGAAAGGTTGAACGGAAGCTTGGTTGTGAGGCACGAAATCCTGGGAGTAGGACCTAAACACAGATTTATACTACAGAATCAAGGCGGAAGACAGACACAAAAACGGGAAGATGGGAAGAAGAAAACAGACAAGAGAAAAAGTCATTAGATTAACTCAGCTGAACTGTGGCAGGCTGTTTACAGTAATTCTAATGAGGACCACCGACCAGGCCAAACCAACCCCCGCACTCCTCTGGCCGAGGTTCCCCAACCCGGGCACATCCTCCCTTGAGAAGGGCCTGAGAACCGACCAGCCCCTTCTTCGGCGTCTGAACAGTAGGACGCGGGCACCCCCAAAGAAGAGCCAGCCCTGCATGCTGTCCAGGGGGTCCCACTTTCTGCTCCGCCAAACCCAACCCATGCCTTCATCCCTTCAGAACTTGTGGCTAAATTCAGTATGTGCACTCAGACGCCTGGGTCCTATTTACTCATTTTGAATCTTCTGCATGAATCTCTGGTTTTATCCCTTAAAAGTCAAACACTACAGCCTTTTAAATACCGTAATCCACCTGAAATGCTCTTGGAAGGGAAGGTTTAGGCCTTAAAAATGGTTGGAAGGACCGTGCTGTCAAAATGCTAAGAATTTCTGAGTTCATGCCCCTTCCTATACAATCTTCCCCCCTTTTTTTTTTAACAAATGAAGGGGCTTGCAAGGCTTCTGATACCACCTTACAGGGGCAAGGGTACACCCTCCCAGATTCTCATCGAGAGAGAGGCCTGGAGCCAGGCTGAGGGGTGACAGTGAATGCCCACAGCTTCTTAGTCAACGAGCACTGTCCAGGCCTGGGCTCTGCTGCAGGAGGAGGGACAGAGGAGCTCTGGGACCAGGGGCCACCAGGCTCAGAACCTGACAATGTCGCCATGTCCCATAAAGGGCCTGACAACCTGATGCTGTCACAGGGTAATGGGAGAGGGGCATGTGGAAGGGTCTGTATCCAAAGTCCTTGCCAGGCCCACTTGCCCACTATAGATGCTGGAATCTGGCAAGAGCCAAGTTCAACGCAAATGTGCACATCACTCACTCAAACGTTCTCTGCATTTTGCCACTGGATTTTCAGAACCCAGGACAAGGAAAAGGAGGAAGAAGAAATACAATTTTAAACAGGAGGTTAAAGCCACTCACATCCTTAGGTGGTTTTACAAAGTTACACTTTGCCCTGGACTGAGAGTGGCCACAACTCAAGTGACAGGCACGCTCCCCCCTCCGTCCCACCCGCTGCTGGCCTGGCCCTGGCTCCTTCCTGGCTGGACTGATTAAAGCTTCCTTCAGCTTGGATGGTTTACATCAGACTCAGGACACCTGCCCATGGTGCCTACTCCCTCTCACACATTCTGTTTCTCCATCTAACTCCCAAAATCAAGACCAACCCTGTACGTGGCCAAACGAATCGGTGGGGAGTGCCATCCGTGTTTTGAGTGAGACACTGAAGGTTTGGCTTCTTGGTAAGAAGCTCCGTGCCCAACCTTCTTTCTGAACGAGCTGCATGAGGGGATCCCTGGCTCCGAGGCTCTCATACTGGCGGCTGAGGCGCCGGAGTATCCACAGTGCCCTCATCAGCCAGGTGCCACGTTTCACCGGCCTTTCCCAGTGACCACCCAGGCATAGGGGACTCACCCTAGGCCTTGCTGGGGATGGCAGTAGGGTAAAGTGTTTGGCTTCTAGGACTCTCCAGTGCATTCCTGGTAAATGTCCCCCCATAGTGAGGCTCTCACTGGCCGGGAAAGGCCACAGACAGTGTGGGGGAACGCACTGGCCAGCAGATGGCAGGGCCTGGTCCTGGGAGGCCACCCTGAGGGAAGCCCACACCGCCGCTTCAGGCAGTGGCTTCGGTCTCACGGTCTCACGCAGGAGCCAGGTTCTCAGATCTCCTGCCTGCGCATCCCCAAGGGTAGCTGCTGCCTTGAGATCTGACAGAGGCCTCTCCCTTGCGCATGAATTCAACTAGTTTAAGATCAGTGTTGCTGAATGTTTGTACCTCTCAATTTATATGCTGAAATCCTAACTCCCATAGGTGGTGGTATCAGGAGGTGGGGACCTTTGGGAGGCTCTTAAGACCTCTCATAAACGTGATTAGTGCCATATAAGAGAGGATCCAGAGAGATGCCTTGCCCTTCCATCATGTGAGAACACAATGAAAAGTCTGCGACCTGGGTGCCTGGGTGGTTCAGTTGGTTAAGCGACTGCCTTCGGCTCAGGTCATGATCCTGGAGTCCCGGGATCGAGTCCCGCATCGGACTCCCTGCTCGGCGGGGGGTCTGCTTCTCCCTCTGACCCTCCCCCCTCTCATGTGTTCTCTCTCATTCTCTCTCTCGCAAATAAATAAATAAAATCTTTAATAAAAAAAAAAGTCTGCGACTGGAAGGGGCACCAGCCCTGTTGGCAGCCTGACCTTGGACCTTCCGCCTCTAGAACCGTGCTGTGTATTACCACCCAGTCTGTGGAACTGGGTTCGAGCAGCCTGAACAGACTGAGGGATATGCCAGTTCTTTCAAGAGTCCTGACACTGCCCTCGTTGACCCCCCCACCCCCCAACGTAAGCTTACTCAGCACTCCACCAGGCCCTGCAGTGACTGAGCACCTGACGTATCTACATAAGCGGTTTCTGCACGATCACACGATGCTGCCAAGTCTGATGGGACCTTCTGAACAAGCTCTGATCTGAGTCGGGTGGCCGGCTCACACACACCGTGGGTGCCTCTTCTGGGAGATGGTACAAGGGTGACTGCTGAGGACACAATCTCAAGTCACACAGACTGGGCTCTGGGCCATCTCTTTCTACCTGTGTGAACTTGGGTAAATAACTGAAGTTCCTGAGCCTCGGTTTCTTCGTCTTTATTTTTTAAGTCATCTCTACACTCAGCGTGGGCCTCGAACTCACGACCCTGAGATCAAGAGCTGCACGCTCCTCTGACTGAGCCAGCCGGGCACCCTGGTTTCTTCATCTTTAAAACGGGGATGGAAACATGTACTAATGTATGTTAATTACACTTGAATAAAAAAACAAACAAAAATAAATGAAACGGGGATGAAAACACCAGCACTCCTTTCGGAGGGTCTGTGTGGATTTACTGAGCTGACACTCTGCAGTCCTGAGCAGGGTGGCGGCACGTGACGAACACTCTCAGCTCTCCTCCCTCACCTGCCGAAGTACCAGTCGGGGAGCCACTCCAAACCGCAGAGCTGAGGGGCTTAACGGGGTCTACTACCTATTTCCCGAACAAAGGAATACATATGCGTTGACTCTCATATTATAACTGAAGCGCCCAGGATACCCCGACTCGCAGCAATGTCTCAGCTCCGAGCGGGGAAGGGTAACCGACAAGCTTCCCCCGCCGCACTGGGAGACCGGGGACGGGCGGAGAGGCTCTGGATGCCGCAAGGACGTGTGCTGCAGGGGAGGGGCAGCCACCAAGGAGAAAGCAAGGAGGCTCCCATCTCCAGGACAAAGCCTCCCCAGCTGGCCTGCCCTTCCCTCCCTCAGCAGCCCCAGCCTGTGAGCAGCCCTGGTATTCCAGCTATGCAGTCCTGCTGGGACAAGAGCCAAGCTTGAAAAATACCTTCAAGGGGGTGGGGAGATGCAAGGCACGGCTCTCTAAGCACACAAAGCACCCTCAGTGCCCCTCCTGCAACTCGGGAGGGGAGGGCCGCATTGGGGCTCATCATCACACCATTGTCCACAAGGCCAGTCTCTGCAGAAGTACTTCTAGCCTGTAAGACCACATTCTTCATCGTGGCAGGGAGAAAGGCAGGCTGGCCGCCGAGCAGAAACACCACTTCATCACTGCCTGGAGTTTATTCTAGGACCTGGCTGGTGCTTGGCTGTGCTTCTGACAGAGAGCTGCTGTGCTTTCTGTGGCAGGAATTTTTATTTATAGCCAGAGTAAGCCTGTTTGGGCTGAGGATCTTATACCACGAGGGGGGCTGCCTGGCTGGAGACTGCAGATTTCTGCAGAAGATCTGGGAGTGCCAGAGCAAGTTCCTGGGAAAGAGAGCAGTTAGAAGGGGTTGCCTGGTCCCCATCGTCAGCCTTGATCACACCATCAGTCAAAGTGCCAGCAAGGACCATCTGGGAAGGACGATGCCTGCTGGTCAGATGAGGTGCTAAGGGTTTGCATGGATCATCTCATTTCATCTACACGAAGGGCTGCTATGATCCTTATCACAAAGAAGAAGAAACAGGCTGAAAGTGCAGGCCACACACCTCCTAACACACAGCTTGGCTCCTAAGAGAGGTGCGGGGGATGTCCCGCTCACCGAACATTCTGGGCATGTGACAGGCCCCAACCGTATAATCCTACAGCTCTGTGGGATACACCTACTATCTGGCTGGGAGATCTTTGTGATGACCAGCAAGCAATAGGCAGGGAGCTGAGGCTTGACATACAAGCCGGGGATGCAGAGACAACATCTGCCCTCACGAGAGATGCAGGAACTGGCAATCTGCTCTTTTGAAAACAGACACGTGAACAAACCGCTGTGAGTCTTCTGGGTGGAAAAATGATGGCTGATAAGCCGATATGTCGATGCGTGGCCGTGCACACGCTGGAATGCAAAGCCCCCCGAAGCTGGCCAGGTGTCAGTTTTCAAGGATACTTTGTCTCCACTCTAGTCTTGGCATGAAAGATGACTAGGGATGAGCCCTGTGCTGGCAAGAAAGCAGGAATAGAGATCTTTAAATGCAAAATTGATTCCTCACTTTAACAGACATCCATTTAATTCCTGTGACAGTCGGGACGAACGGGGGTGTCCAAGGGGGCAGCGTGCGCCAGCAGCCGTGGCCAGAGCCACAGGCCGGTGACCCTGCCGGCTCTGCGGTCGCGGTGACTGGGGCTCCGAGCTTTGAGGAACTTTCAACCCTCCCAATTACCCGGCGATGCCATCATCTGAGTGAATGGACTTTACTGTCGTAAAGTGTCTGGGAAGCACAGAAGTTGCCAGAGATGGGTCATTACTGCATACTCTTGGCTCAAGCAAGACTTATGACTTCAGTGTTTCTGGATGCTGCTTACCAACACAGAGAAGCTGTTGGA